ATCAACCCATACACACACCAAACATCCATGTCCTGAGTTGGATTCGAACCCATAATCCCAGCGTCACAGCGATCAAAGACAGTTCATGCCTTAGAGTGCGCGGCCACTATGACCGGCTTACAAAAATCAGCTGGTCATGAATACGAAGACAACGATCAAGCCCTTAAAGCCCGGCAGTCCTATATGTACATCCTGCTTTAACACACTAATATTCTGCGTTCTGCCCACAGATTGCATTTGGGTGCTTCGTATGGTTCTCACAGTGAACAGCGTTCTTTCCCCCTCAACAACATTAACAGGAGTCCGGATAGCGACTGGCTACGGGCTGGACGACCTAAGAGGTCGGAGTTCGAGTCCCGGTTGGGTCAAGAATTTTCTCTTCTCCACGTCGTCCAGACCGATTCTAGGGTCCTCTCAACCTCCTATCCTATGTGTACCGGGGGCTCTTTCCCCTGGGGTAAAGCGGCCGGGGCATGACGCTGACCACTCACCACCAGCTAGTGTCGAGGTCAAGAAAATGTGAATCCATACATCCACTCCCCATACGCCTTCATAGTGTAGTGCTTAGTTAGTTGAGCACAGGGAGAGCTTTGCCTTTACCAACAACATTAATCGCTGCTCTTAGTAGTGGAGGCAGAATGTGTCTCCTGCGAGGTATGAACAGAATATATATATACATATATTATTTTGAAGAAATGCAGTCAGCCTCCTCCTCTGTTTCAAGAGGAGGCCGCATTTCAAAACATATAAAAGTCTTGAAAAGATAAAAACGTGGCCATGGTTCCCGATGGGGCTTGAAAATATGAATTACTGTGCTGGCGAGGACCAGCAGCAATTTAATCAATGGACAGATCAGTCATTAAAGGTGATTTGAGAAAATATATACATATATAAATAACAATAAACCAATTTCGTGGAGCACAATCCTTGAAGCTAATAGTCCGATCCAAGTTTCACACAGAGGGCCTGTGAAGTCGCTCAGTTAGTCAAGAAATTCACTGCATTTTATGAGACGCGAAGTTTTATTAACATGAAGAAAGCAGTCTTCTGGGATTTGGCACCGTGTATATGTGGTGTTAACCGACGTTTCGGAGGAACGTATCGCCTCCATCTTCAGGGTAGAAGAAAAAATATAAGAAATCTGCAAGCGAAGAGACCGTGAGAACCGGTAAAAGCAGACTGCAGTTCTCACGGTCTCTTCGCTTGCAGATTTCTTATATTTTTTCTTCTACCCTGAAGATGGAGGCGATACGTTCCTCCGAAACGTCGGTTAACACCACATATACACGGTGCCAAATCCCAGAAGACTGCTTTCTTCATAGTCACCGCCGTGAAAGCCTCAAATCTTACATTTTATTAACATGTTACAAGAGCCCGCTGTTTGGCCATGAACTTCTACAATTTTTCTATGAAATATTTGCTTTTCCGTTTGCTAAACCTTAGCGATATTTAAAGCCATATAATCCTGGAAAACATGTTTGTGTACGAGCTCAGACGTGCACTCACACTACGTCATCGCCTGAATATTTCATCACAGAAAAGTCAATTTCAGACGTAACATTGTAATGTCCAGTCTTAATTCTTGGGCACAGCGCTTTCACTCTTCGCATAGGTCACTGTCCCAGAGAATTCCTTGACTGGACTCAGGCATGCAAAGGGACTCATAGGAGGACCCTCTGCTAAAAGAGCGAAGGAACTGTTGAAGTTAAACAGGAACCAGCTATGATGGGTGGTGGGACTACTTACAGGACACTATCACCTTAAAGTTTAAAGGACACCTCTTCAAACAGGGACTAAGTGATAGTCCCACTTGTGAGAGGTGCCAAGAAGAAAATGATACAGCCACACGTATCCTGTGCGAATGTGAGGCCTTAGCTTATTTAAGATTGCGTCACTTGGGTCAATACTTTATGGAACCAAGTGACTATTTCGACGCCCCCACGTACAAAATCCTGCGCTTCGAATGAAGTTGAGGGGATAATCAAAAGGGGAAGCACAATAGACCACTGTAGGTCGCGGTGCAAGGGCCGAGAAGGCCTACCCCTTAGACATTCATTCATTCATCCTAGACAATGAAGTTGAGGTCGTAATTAAGTTCTTCAGTTTAGATTACAATGACGGGAGTTTGAGACCACGAAGTTGAACTTTCAAATTTCACAACATTTCATTCATCTGCACATCACACCGCTCAGGACTTTAAGCTGCGGAACTAGTGATGTTTACAGACCTCAACACAGGTTCCGTTCTTTATTTATGTCAGACATAACGTGCAAGTAGCATGAAGTCAAAATCTTAGCCACGGTTATTATTTATAACAGGAGACGGATAGCTCAGGCGGCATGCCGACTAAGTACGGGCTGGACGACCAGGATTCGATTCCCGGAAGGGGCAAGATATTTTTTCTTCTCCATATAGTCTACACCGGCTCTGGAGCCTATCAAGCCTCCTAGCCAAATGGGCACGCGGGACTCTACCCTAGGAGGTCAAAGCGACAGGGGCGTTAAGCTGATCACTCACCTCCATCTAGTTCTGAAGTCAAGACTGGTGAAGCTATATCTCCACTCCTCCAATCACAGTGTCCAAGGCTTGAACTGTCTTCGCCCGCTCAAACACCGGGACCTGGGTTCGAATCATACTGGAAGAATGGATGTGTGTGTGTTTATTCTGTGTTTATGCTGTCTTGTGCCCAAGGAGTTCTACAGACTGTGTGTAAAGATCAAGAAACTGACAAAGCGGCCAAGGTCCAACAAAGGGCTGTAGAGCCGTAAGTAGATGGAGAGATATCTCCACTCTCACGTGTCTTCACGGCATGGTGCATAACTACATAATCAAGTACAGGAATAACGTTACGAGTACTATTTGTAATTTCTTGTTAGTTCCCGGCTGCAATTCCAGTCGGCCTTTAACTGGACGTCGATAATGGTAGTTCTAAAGTGTAAAGCGTGGTTAGAAAGAAGGTCGTTTGGATTAGCATAGGCTGGATGCGCTGAACATACAAGAGCATGCTGAGTGTAATACGTGGAAGGTCTGAGGAAATGCTGCATCTTCTGGCCACAAGCGCACAAGCACGGCGGCGACTTCTCATAAAACCCGTTCCTGGCATGTCCTTCTTTTTGCTTCACCAGTCGAAACCTTGAGGCTTGAATTTGGATGAAGTTATACTGATGGTCGGTCCAACAGTAAAACTGGTATATACCTCATTCCAGTCCGTGTTATTATTATTATTATTATTAAATGATATTGTAATAAATTAATTGAAGTGAATTGTTATTCTGTGATAGTGTTTTATATGGATCTGATTTGAAGCCTCTACTTTACAATATGATAATTAATGACTTATGAAATGTAATTAAGCACTGTAGGTGTCTTCTTTTCACTGATGACACGAAAACGTTTCGTGTTATTCAGTCCCACAGAGACTGGTCTCCACTCAGCCTACGTCTGATATTGATTCTAGACGAGGTTAGTGCACTGCTGACTTCGGAAGCTCAGTGCTAACAAACCAGAATTATTTCTTTCACATGGAAAAGTAACACGTTGCGTCTGAATTTGAACTTTGTGAATCCCCTACAGTCCAAACCCACATTGACTACTAAAGGCCTGGGAGCCTTTATTGACTTAAAATTTCATTTCCATCATCATATTGACTACATTCTAACAGTCTGTAAAGTTTCCGAGTCTTGTTCACATTCTAACAATTTCTTCTTCTTCCCTTGACTGTTTACCGACGTTATATTTCACCTCAGATCTAAATTAGAATGGGCCTCTGTTATTTGGAATTTCTTTACGTCTGCCTGTGTCAACAAGTTGGAACGCATCTAGCGGAAGTTACTGTCACCCTGTTCCCCATGTCCATTACAGTTGCACTGATGCTTCCGACTGCTTAGGGCTTCACGCCTTACGTTCCTTAATCAAGCTCAACTCGTTTCTGAATTCTGTCCAGTTTTGGAAACTGTAAGTCTTCTAGTGCCAATAAGAGTGGCCGCGCGGTCTAAGGCACGAACCGTTTTCGCCAACTCGAACACTGGGGTCGTGTGTTCGAATACCACTCGAGGCATGGATGTCTGTGTGGGTTTATTCTGTGTTTGTGTTGTTCTGTGTGTAGGTAGTGGCCTTGCGACGGCCTGGTCCTCTTTCTAAGGAGTCCTACTGACTGTGTAGAGGATTAAGAAACTGAAAAGTGGCCAAGGTCCAAAGAGGTGTAGAGCATTAAAGAGAGAGAGAGAGAGAGAGAGAAGTCTTCGAGTTCCCACTCGGTACCTCCGAAAATTTCCCCTTCCAATTTTCGTGCTTCCTACAAACATTGTTCTTCTGATAGATGGGTTTCAGATGCTCATATTCTTTGTAGATATGTTGATATATTCATAAAACTGATCATATTTCATATTAGCTGCGGTACTTCCTTATCTATTAAATTATCATATTAGTGGTTTAATTGTAGTCGAAAGAAGTGCGTATAAATACTTTCTTCTTTTTGTTGAACTTGATTTGTGCTAATCAATTAAAAATTATTTGTTATTTTTATTGTCACAACGTAAAGTATATTAATTTCTTTGTTTCTGTCGTGTCAGTTTGTTCGTTTTAACGTTCGTGCTGACTTTGCAATTGGCCATTAGACTGGTGAGTCAGCGCGTAAGTTAACAATAAACTGAATGAATCACTGAATTGTTATATCATCATCATTTACTTCTGTCCCTACACTGAAGAGCCATTCTGCATTTCTAGAAGGATGAGGCTTGAGAAGTAAGAGCCCCGGTACTCAGTATGTTTTGGGAACGCGCGTGCGCCATCTTGAGCTAGTGATGTGGAACATTGCGTTATCAATAGAAGGTTCAATTTTCAAACCACTTCCGGTATTCATATGACGGTGGCAAGTTCAGACTTTTTTTTATTGCTAGTGGGGTGGGACTAAGGGCCCCCATACACACACAGTTTGGCCTCCCGTTCGGTCTGTACAGTTGAAGACTGAAAGGAAAAACTGACGTGTGTGGTGCGGCCGGCCGGCCAATCGTTAGAACTCTTGGCCCGTAGGAAACCCGTCAGTTCTGCCTGCAGGATGTAGCACGTGACAGGCGGAACGTACGTGTGTGACGATACCGGCAGGCCAATCGCTCAGTTGCTGCTGCTGTCTCGTGTTCTTCAGTATTGTTTCGCGTTGTGGTCATTTCTCGTGGTATCTTGAAACTTTGTGCTATGGCAACATGCTCGAAGGACTTTTTAGTGGAGTTTATCGAAGAATTTCGTGGTCATCCTTGCATTTGGAAGGTGAAGAGCGAAGAATACCACAACCGTGAGATGAAAGAGAATGCTTATTTAGCACTGACGGAAAAAATAAAAACAATTGACCCCCAAGCTAAGAAGGAAACTGTGTTGAAAAAGATCAACAATCTACGAAGCAGTTTCAGGAAGGAACGGAAGAAAGTATTGATGGCTAAGAAATCTGGAATGAGTAGCGAAGACCTCTATGTCCCGAAATTGTGGTACTACAAAAATTTATTGTTCCTGGTAGACCAAGAAGAGGCCTTGGACGGGTTTTCAAGTCTTGTTAGTGATACGGAGGTAAGTGGTGTAATTAAAAATCAAACTTTTATTGCATGTTAACAATTATAGATTACAATGCTAAACACTAAATAATTCTATGCATGTGTACGGAATCAGAGCCTTCTGCCTTAATGTACTGTTTTTGAAAACAGAACTTATCTTGCCATGGAACTTTTCCTTCGTTGTTGAAATACTCCAAAAACAACTCTCTTACAAGTTTCGCATCCTGGGTAGGAAAACACCGCTGTCGTCTTTCCAGATCCATAAATTGACTGCAGCGATAACCAGGCGTAACATTCCCAGTTTCAAAATCCTCATCATCCAAACCCTTCAATGGTGTGTACTAATTCGGAATCTTACTGCGCAAAAAAATATGCAGGGCACAACATGCCATAACAATATGGCGGACGCTAGTCAAATCTATGATAGAGATGGGTTTCTGTAATACCGCAAATCTCTCCACAATGATACCAAAAACACTTTCAATCCTTCGCCGAGCTCTAGACAAAAGGTAGTTGAATATCTTACGGGCTGGTGTGTTTACTTTACGGCTGAAAGGCTTCATGATGTCTTTCCTCAGTGGAAAGGCATCATCTGCTACAAGAACAAAAGGCATATTTCTCCCAGCAACAATTGTTTCCTTTGGCACATTCAAACTCCCACTTTCGAGTGTCCTGTAAAAGTCTGTGCTTTGAAAAACTCCACCATCGGACACACGGCCATTTGATCCAAAACTGAAGTATAGTAACTCATAATTGGCTCTGGAAACTTTTATAGTTAAAGAAGAATGCTCCAGCCCCTGGAGGAGGCGTGATAGCCACACGTTTTCCATTCATGGCTCCTATGCAGTTGGGAAACTGCCACCTAACTTCAAAGTCCTTAGCAACTTTCTTCCACTCCTCTTGTGATGTAGGACACTGTAAACAGATGACAGAAGGCACTGAGACACATATACACAGAGAGAGGGAGATTAACATGCTTGGGGTGTAACTATGTTTTTGTGTTTTGTTGTTTACAGGACTTAGAAGAAACAGAACAAGAAATTACACAAAAGTCAGCCTCTCCAGGCATTTCAGCGCACTCCTCTGTTTCAAACCAAAGTGCAGAACTAAACATCAGCACTGGTCCAGACATCTCTTCCTACGGCTGTACATTCAAACGTAAAAAGAATCTGCCTGCGAGTGGTCAGATACTTGTGGCAGATGGTGATCGACTGGCTCAAGTGAAAAATGAGGACAAATTTGATTTATTTGCAAAATATGTCGCTGCCAAATTACGAGCATTAGGAAATAATGAACAAAGCATTTATGCAGAGAAATTAATAAATGACGCCCTTTTTGAAGCAGAGCTTGGATCGCTTGCTAGATGCTCTTCAATCAGTACCGGTACTGGAGCATACTATGCTCTTGGCCCTTAGTCAAATATCTCTTCGGGTTCCAGCCACGATGATTGCATGGGTCACTACTAGAGACGCGGGTCAATATTACTTTAATTCTTGAACTCCTCCCTGGGCTGTAGTAACTGTTAGGCATGAGAGATGTTTTTAATGTGTGTACCATGACAATTTATTTATCTTCATGTATTTATAAAGTTACCCTCACTTTTCATATCCTATGTAGTAAAAGTACAAATGTTCGAAGAAACTTGTTTCACTTACACACCTTGCAATACTTCCTCAGTACTTTGTAAATTGCTTCGCAGGTCTCAGGAATCACTCTTCCCAGTGCTTGAGGGGAGATACGAGTAGAAAATTTCAGGTCTTCAAGGGTTCTTCCAGTAGCTAGATAGCGAAGCGTTGCTGTCAATCTTTCATTGGGTGTGATTGCTTTCCTCATGTTCATATCTTTTTTTTATGTATGGTGAAACAATACTTAACAGTTCCAGATAAGTACTTTCATCCATATACAGGTAGTTGCTCCAGTCTTTTGGAAAACATTTTAAGTTCTTGAAGCAAATCCATGCGAGTGAAATGATATCTTCTTTCTAACCACTGTTTGGTCCATAAATTGCGTCTGCGTTTCTTTCTTTTTAGCAATACACACGCGATAGCTGCATATGCAAACAGTTCATCAACTGTAGACATGTTTTAACAAATAAACAAGACTGCACCGCACTCGGCAACATAGGCTGGAAGACTGACTGTGGCATGAACCCTGCCGGTTTAACTGCGTGTGTATGGGGAAGGAAAGGGAGAGGCCAAACTGTCACAGTTTTGCCTGTAAGGTCGATCGGAAGGCCAAACTGTGTGTGTATGGGGGACCCAAGTCTCTTGTACTGCGGCCACTTTTGGCCTATTGTACCAGCCCCAGATGATAGGTGAGGGTGATTGTGGAGCAATTGGTGGAATGAAGATTGGCAAGGGAAATCGAAGTACTAGAAGAAAACCTGCCCCAGCGCCACTTTGTCTACCACAAATACCACTTGACCAGACCCGGGATTGAACCCGGGGCGCCGCGGTGGGAAGCCAGCCACTAACCGCTTGAGCTATGGCGCGGCCATAAGTTCAGACATACACAGGGGTTCTCTTCCGTAAGGTTCCCTACGCAAGGTATGAAATACTCCGGTTTGCAGAGTAAATAGATTTTACGGATATGATTTGTCCACTTCCTTATAAGCGGAATATAAAAGAATGCAGTTAGTTCGAAGTATGCAAGGTGAAGGAAATCTACTTAATTCATCTTAATAGCTAAAACTGAAGGACAGTAATGGATTGTAATTTTTATCAACTTTTAGAAAATCTTGTTGTTTTCTTGTACAATGGTAATGGAGCCGTGACTCATGTCAAAGTGCCGAACCAAGAATTTGGGGGCGCCTGGAACACAGTTGTTATCTGTTTTAAGTTACATTTGCATATTCGAATCCAGCTCAGAATAAGGAGAGCCGATTCTCAAATATCAGTATCATATTCATTATACACGAACAAGTCTAAGGAATATATAAATGATGTCTCATGCGAATAGCGATCACCACGAGAACGAGCCAAATATTCATATATATATATATATTGCGGCGTGCTGCCAGAAAGCCGGAATGGTTTAGGAGTTCAGGGATGATTTCCTACGCTCCCACACTAACGGCTAGCGTTTGCATAGCAGCGGGAGAAATTAACCATTCGACAAGTTATTCCTTATTCAGTCCGAGTGCAACGTCGGCTAGAGACCAGTAGAAAATATATTCGACTGTAGTAGGAGAGAGTTCTTATTCGAGTAGAACAGAAGAGTTCTTATTCGACTTTAGCAGGAGTGAGTTCGTATCCGACAAGGGACTAAGGACAGTTGAGCTCGGAGCAGTGCAGAAGACACTTCACCATGATCAGCCGTTCAAGTAATTGTAACAGTGCGGCCGCGCCATAGCTCAAGAGGTTAGTCTCAGTTTCTCAGTCAGTATAGCCGATCTCCGGCCGAGATTTGAATCCGGAAACTAAATACGTGTGTATATATATATGTTACCGATGCCAATATACAGAACAAAACCTTCATCACGTTCATCACGAACGCGATGTGGGGCCCCAGCGAAATCCCTTATGTGTGGACACTTCCAACGTGTGCGCTTCCAAGGTTATAAAGTAAGTCAGTCCTAGGCCGCGCCATAGCTCAAGCGGTTAGTCACTGGCTTCTCACCGCGGCGGCCCGGGTTCGATCTCAGGTCTGGTTAAGTGGAATTTCTGGTGGACAAAGTGGCGCTGGGGCAGGTTTTCTCCGAGTACTTCGGTTTCCCCTGCCAAACTTCATTCCGCCAATTGCTTCACAATCACCCTCACCTATCATCGGGGGATGGTACAATAGGCCAGAAGTGGCCGCAGTACAAGGGACTTAGTCCCACCCCACTGGCAATAAAAAAATTGTAATAGTGAAGAGGAAACGTCTGATGACGTTATAAGTTGAGAATAATTGTACTTGCGAATGTAAGAGAGTGACTGTTCAATAAAATATTCGTTCAAATCCGAGAACCCGCACAAATTTTTTGTCGCGTTGCCTAGCAAACAACAGACAAAGTATATATACTGTCATATGGGGCACCCGGTAAGGTGTTGGTTGAGGCACTATACACCAAGCCGGAAGGTCGCGAGTTCGATTCCCGATGAGGTCACTGATTTTTTTCAATTAACCTAATCCTGCCAGCCGCACAATGACTCTGGGGTTGACTCAGCCTCTAACAGAAATGAGTACCAGGTATCTTCCTGTGGGGTAAAGGGCGGCCGGCGCGTAAGGCTGACAACCTCATTTCCTCTGTGAGTCCACTGTCTAGAAAATGTGGGAGCCTCGACGTCTCAGAACCTTATGGGCCTTCAAGGCCTGTTACTGGGACAGCTTTACCTTTTGTATACTGTCATATGAATATAAGATGATCAAGAAACTAAAGGAATAGACAAATCTACAATTCTTAGCACATAACAGCCCATTTGCTTTGCAGGCTGCTTTTAACAACACAAAAGTTCCAACGTCATTCAGAAAAGTGTGTAAATTTAACGTGAATCTTAACTCGTGTTGCTGTGTACAGCGACTGCTTGGCGTACTTAGAAGTGGTTGTGTATTTCATTAGAGCGTTTAAATTTGTCATTACTGACGTGTCTTTTCACACGTTAAGATCATATGGTTCAACTCACGCCGGACAATTGCTGCTGGTTGCCTTGTCTATCGTTCCTCTATTTGCAAACAACGGAAAAAGAGAAATGACATTAACAATTATGTGAGTATAGAAATTTCTCGGTTTCTGTTAATAAGTAAAATCACGTAACATCTCCTGAAATAAGAATACCTGGAAATTGTCATTTTTGTTAAGGCTTACCTCACTTTTGTTCTTCAAAGAGAAGTGTGACATAGATGCCTGTTCTTTGGCCATAAAACTGACGGTGCGAAGAACAGAAGCCAGTACCTTTCTTCATCTACTCGTACATAGCTTTAATGTCCGTAACGTTAATTTTAAACTGCTTTGGCTGTGCTGCATACAACGAAACATGTGGCAGAACATCTAGGATGAAGCCTTTGTATAGTGTCACATACGTAGGGCCTATTGGTGATTAGCTTATTCAGAAATAGAACCTATGTCTGTCAACAATGTGTATGCATCTGTAGTAAATAAACATAAGTTTCAAATATGGACGCAAATTGCATAGAAGATATTTAGAAAACTCGTGTAGTTCGAACCTGGAATATACAGTTCCTTTTTCACATTTTTTCTCCCCCCCCCTTGGCACTACAGCCCCAATGGGCCTAGGCCTACCTCCATGAACTTCTCAGTTCACTTCGGTTTTTCTAGATCTTACACGTTCGGTAGGACCCCTTGGGCGGGTGATCAGCTCGTCGCAAGGCCTCTACCTGTACACAAAGACAGAAAAACGCACACACACAAACTAAACATCCATGCCCTGAATGGGATTCGAACCCGCAATCCCGGTTTCCAAGCGAGCGAAGACAGTGCATCCTTTTTCACATTACTTAAATTAAATTAAATTCAACTTGCTTGCTGCCTGGTTTAGAGGAATCTTTTGTCTCCTCCTTTCTCTGTAAAAACGTAAAGATTCAGTCATACAAAAAAAAAAAAAAAGTAAAGCTATCCCTGTACCAGGCCTTGAAGGCCCATAAGGTGTGTGAGAGGTTGAGGGTCCCACACTACCTAGACAATCGGCTCAAAGATGGCGGTAAGGTTGTCAGCCTTACGCGCCGGCCGCGCTTTACTCCCCAGGAAAATTATTTCTTTAATTTCCTGGTACTCATTTTTGTTAGAGGCTGAGTAAACCCCAGGGCCTAGTGCGGCTGGAAGGAGTAGGTCAAAAGAAAAAATCCAGTGACCTCATCGGGACTTGAACCTGCGACCTTCCAGCTTGTAGCATAGCCCCACAACCAACCACGGTACCGCGTGTCCCCTATTGTTAAAGCTGTAGCTCTGTGTGGATATGCATTTTGGTCTCTTAAAAAAAAGGAGTTAGTGCAGGTTTTTGAGGGTACTTGAGAACATGGCGCTCAGGAGAATAAGGGGAAAGTGACAGGAGTCTGAAGAAAACTGAAAAGGTTAATAATGTGTACCCGCCATCAAACATTATTACAATGATGAAATGAAGGAGAGTGTGGTGGGACAGAGATGAAGCAAGCATACAAGTACCTAGAAATGCGCACAAAAATTGGGTCTGAAAAACTGAAGGAAGAATTCTTGGGAGACATAAGCATAAGTGGGAGGATGTTATTAAAATGAACCTTAAGGGAAACAGAGTGGGAGGATGTGGACTGGACTCGTCTGGTTCAGGATAAGCTTCAGTGGCGCACTTTTAGCAACACGGTAATGAAAATTTGGATTCCAAAGAAGGAAAGAAATTTCTCGAGTGGCAGGAGGACTGTAAGCTTCTAAAGAAGGGTTCAACTGTTCCGGTGAATGAACTGGCTGTTTAACTTTTATATTACACGTACTTCTCTTTCTGTTTAAAAGTCTGAAGAAAGCCGTACAGTCATTAGGGAACTTCTGCGCAGACGTTCGGAATACTCGATAGTGCCTTATACGTGTGTATCCATTGGCCACAATGTTCGGAGTTCTGATAAAAAGCAGTTTTAAAGCAAAGGCGAAATTGTGCTTGAATATTCAGATGTTCCTAAGAAGAGGAGTGGAATACCCGTTTCTAGAAAAAGGGCAAATTTTCGAGTATTATTGCTGTTGCAAAATAATGACGGT